ACTCAGCTCGGGTTTTCCCGAATATCCCCAATATAGCGACAGTACAACCTATGTGCCTCACCCCATACACGTCTCCCACAAACTCCAACTCCAACTATTTGTGGAACCGGTCCTCGGTTTCCCACCACGTTGGCATTTCTTCGACCACGGACTTGGAACACCACGAGTTGAGACTCTTTACGGGTCTGATTGTGGGATCTACAACACGAAAGAAGAAAAGCAACCCATGGTACTCCCAGATATTGACGCTAAGCTGCTACATTCCCAAAAAGACACCATGGTGATTTTCCTCTTCCTCTACAGAAAAATCTACACACCCATGTTCACAGGCATCACAAAATAGCAGTTGTCTTTCTTCCGGATATTAATAACGAGAAAGGCACCACCCTATACCCGTCCTCCGGTAATAGCAGAGCACAGCCCTGCCCTTCGAACGCGGATCGACTCGCGCGGCTACGGGAGCCCCGACAGCTGCGAAAGGCGCATCATCTGGCGATTTCGCCATGTGGCGTGGCTTGCGGTTGGGCGAGTTGATCACTTCACGAAAAAATGTGAAGTTCTTTGGAGATGAAACTGGATGTCTGGCGGGTTTCGGATTGTTGCTGTGAAGTGACCCAATGAAACCCAAGCCGACGATTGTTGGTCAAAGCTTTAATCAACACTTCGAAAGACTGCCCCAACACTTTCTTGAGAGGGTAATACCCGTTAAGGATCGAGTGGAAATGTTTGGAAACTAACGTAGAAACCAACTGAGACAAGAAGATCGTCTTCGGTATCTTCCCAACGGCAAACGTCATTACAAAGAAAGTCTGGTAACCACAACCACAAAAGTTTGCCATTCCACGCATCCCTTCACCTGCCGCCTCCGTCCGCACCCGGACACCACGCCAAAACCCAGAACCCGCGCCGGCGGAAACCGGCGGTCCAACCTGAGCTGCATCGGCCACCCCTGGAAGTCCATCCTGCCGAGACGGCGCGGCTCGAAGCGCAGATGGGCTGTGGCTCCGATGGGTGTCTTCCGGTGGGGCCGCGGCTCGGTGAATTCTTCCGCTGGTGGAGTCGTTTCCGCAACCGGATGACTCACACATGGCCACGTTGGCCACCGCGTTTCCCTGGCCACGCCCCCTGCCACTTCTTGAATAAAGGTATATCCTCCCTACAGGGGGCCATGATAGTCCGATCAAAGGCTCGGATGGCTTTGGATGGCTAGTCACCACTCCGCCTATACAGTGCAAATATAGATCCAGGTCATCCGCCTTTGTTGGCTTCCTATGAATCCTGAGTTGAAACTTGTCCGGCTACTCAGAGCCTTTATCTGTCGGGCTATGAGAGTAGAAGTGCACGCCTTGGACTACTAAGGGTTACTCCAACCATCTTTAACCACCTCAAGCTAAAGCGAGCGTTCATTGCTTTAAAAGCGCCAAACCAAACACAGCCCTCATACATGAATGGAAAAGATTGTCTCTTTCACCATCATATCCCACAGTCTTCAGCATCATTGGGGTCTCCCATCCAGATCGTCTATATATATCGACCTTTGTCAAACAACATACTCTTTTGGGTGTGTAACAAACTAGGGAAACAGCCCAAAAGGCTCCTTGGAAAAGGAAAAACACTACCATACAATACCTATTGAGGCAGTGCGCCCCAAAAGAATCCTCCCTCCAAAATCGCGCGCCTCAGACACGGACGCAAGGCCAAAACCATGCCTCAGCCAAGGTGCACGTGTCGCACGTTTCAACGAACACAGAACAGCAAAACTGCTGCGTGGTCCGAGTTGCGACCTCAACGTGGTGAGAGCAGTGGCAAAGAATTACCATGAGGATGGGGCAAACACAGTATCTATCCAAAAGCTGACGGAAACGCCATGTGTGGCAGCTCTGCCAGCTTCTGCCAGCGTCTCGGTCCCATCGATGCTGAAGGACCCGAGCGTCGTCTCCGTCTCCGGTCGTGGGCGACGCTCCGTTCGGGTCTCCCGACGCGTGTGCTCGCCTCATTCGGCAGGCGCAGGTCCATGTGGCAACCAAAACACATCGAAGCAAGATCGAACCCGGGGAACAGAAAAACCAGGGCAACACTAGCAAGGGATGCAGGGCAAAATCCCAGGGGTGCTCCGAAGGGCTCCCGGTTTTTCAAGAGGAAAATGGGTATCCCTGGCTCCAAAGTCGCTCCCTCCCAATAACCAGCTATAAATTCTCGTTTCTGTGGGTGAGGGCGGAGGGACATCTTGGTCTTGGAATATGACGCTCGGTGGTTCCAACCTCTATCGAAACGGGTTTGCAGATGGCTCCACGTTCGTTCTCGATTCTCTGCTAAAGTCTGATAAGACACTTTGCAGATGGCTCCATGGTTTCAAACCTCTCACACTGCCAGTACCCACAGCATGTTGGAATACGGCGTGATCGTACTAATTCGCCATCGCAACGACTGACGGCGAATACGGTGAATACACCACTGAAAAAGCACTGAACCAGATGAAGGGGTGGCAGCAATTGCAGGACGGGGTGCGATCCATGGAGGCTAGGCGTGCCCAGAACATCCACTCACTTACAGTAGGGCCTAAACACCACCCCTGTGACTTCTGTTGACTCCGCTGCATCCCTTCCTTCATTGCCGCTCTATCTTAGGATCCAGCATGATCCAGCCCTGCGAAAGAGGCCGCAGTACAAGTCTTTTGGGTTTGTGGATCCCCTAGCACTGCCGGCCAGACTGAGCATACAAATGAAGACCGGCGACTGCCAGGTTGTTGTCGCTAGCGCTCTCACATCTCATTGCCGCACACAACAGAAACCGCCCCAGCCACACAAAGAGGAAAAACAAAAGATATCCTTTTCTCAGCGAGAAAGCTTTAGACCCAAAAGCACGCACAAAGAGCAAAACACTTCATCTGGTGCCAACATTGGTCAATATTCCACACCTCCCCAACTCCCGTCCAGGCGAACCAACCCCCCAGTCCGCACCGTTCCACCAAGTGACTCGTTCTCCGCATCAACGTGGTAGGAGACTTTCCGCGGTGCCTTTCGTTCAGTGATGTCCTCAGTTTGCCAAATTGGAACCCTCCGGTCATTGGATCATCCTGGTGCTGTTCTTCTTCCTTCATTGTCGAAACCAGTGGACACTGGTAGTGCTTGAGATCTCCATCTTGAAGTCCGATGTGCGAAAGAAAATCTATTTGGAACAACTCAGTTCTTCAACAAAATCCTTCGCCCCATCCAACCAGACCTTTTTTCCACTGACACCAAATTGGCTTGGGGTCACAAGAGATAAAGTCATGCCAGGACAGAGGTTCTGGCATAAGTGAAGATTCAGTTGATGTCTGTCTCACAATCTCACAAAAAAAATGTGTCGCTTTCAGGTGTTTCATCGAGATGCCCTTCAGACCAATCTGTTTGCCCTGAATTCTTCGACCGTGACAGGAAAAGCCCGTGTGGGTCTTTGGTGACAGCGCTTCAGTGAGGGACTACCGGAACTGGAGCTGTCAAAATCGAAAATGACGCGCTTTCTAGAAACCAATCCACCCCAGCTGTCAACATCCACAACAATGGATGCTCAAAAACACCTCTTGCCCTACAACCTCAGCCTTCGAAAGAAACTGGCTTCCGCTGTGTGTCCAATCCTTTTCAATGAGCCTCACCCACAATTTAAGAGAAATCATCGGAAACAGAACGAATCACAAGCCATTCAACACAATGTCCGCCCCAAAAAGGCGGCTGCCACCCAAATTCCCTGGCTGCGGGACTTCTTTGACACTTTCACCGTCACTTTGACCGGAATGTCATTCGGCCCTCCCCCACCAATCTGAGCTCCCTAGCCGTTTGAGCCCGGGGCCTTCGATTCTCCTGGCGACAGGTAGGTCAACACAGCCTGTTCAACACAGGTCCTGCCGTTTTTCCTTCGCAGATCGTTGTTACATGTAGTAAAGGGGAACATTGCAGCAATCTGCAGCACTGTAGTACCACTGAGGCCACAAGGGGTATGATCTCCAGCTAATGTGGATGAGTTGAAATGGCTTCCAGCTAAGTGCTTTTGTATGTTTTGCCGCGTTCCACCCAACCAAGCTTCACATCACCTATTTCCGCAGCTTCAAGTTGGTCACAGGAGTTGCCAACGCCAACACTGCCTCCTTTGGCTGGTCATCGAGCTCGAGAAATGTATTGTGCACCACCTGCGGCAGGCGCGCTACCGCAGGTCTCATTTGGGGAGGTGTGGTCCTGTGGAGATGAGTGATACCTTGTCGAATAGCTAGCTAGTGTTCTCCAAAAAAAACGATGATGCTACCTCAAACAGAAGGTGTCTTCTGGTCATCGGCATTCTTTTCCAGGTCTCCAACCCGAAGGGCTCAAATCTGGGACAACTACCATCGCCAAACCACCCAAAAGCAACCACCACATCAAGCAGGCCTTGAGCCACCCCGAGGAGCTGCTTCGAACGTGACAAGCGTGACAAACCCTGGCGAAAAAAGAACACCACTCTGTCTCACCCAAAACCCCCGCCGCGAAACCCGCGCAACCCGCGCCGCGCAACCCCCGAAGCTCGGGCGCCCGGACCAACCGCGGAACGGCTTGCCTGACCGGCACCGGTGTGTCGGGTGTCGGATTAGCCGACCGGTGGGAACTGTTTGGGTTCGTCCACGGACGGGTGGGGACCGCGGGGACGGAGCGAGGTGGACTGCGAGGTTCGGAGCAGAAGGAAAAACGATCGTAAAGAAGAAGAGTCGGGGCATTGGGCTGTCAGGCTCTAAGTGAAGTTGTTGACGTAAGTACATTCTGCTCCCAACCTGAAGGCCAAATCCTCGGATCTCCACTGGCTGCCCGAACTCCCATCGGCTGCCCTCCGGTCCTGTTTTCACCCATCCGCAAGGCGTTCCATTGGCTTTCCTAAGTCAGTTCGAGAAGAAGAGCCTCTTTGTCACCATATAGAGTGCAAAAAGGTAAAGCATTGTGACTACTGTATAGCCAGCGGTATTGGCGAAGCGCGACTTCAAAGGCCGCTTCGTGGAATCATTGACCTTCTCGAGGTGCAAGATCTGTCGACATCGGATCAGCAGAATCATCGGGCAAAGGAAGGAGACGGAGAGACCTGCATAGCCGCCCACGTACTGGATCACCGCTTGCACATCGGTGGTGATTAGAGCCACCGTGAAGGGTGGCACCAAGACCGCCAGCGTGAGACAGCCCGTCTTGGAGCACAGCGACACGCCCGCCTCCGGATCCGGCGGTTTCACCTGAAGCCATTGACCCATGGTATTCCGTGTGGTGATGGCTGCGATGGGAATGCTGGCAATGGCCATGGCCGGGTAAGCCAGCAAGAACAAAGCCACTGAGCCCCCCCGCGAGGCTCAAGGGAGCAAAGTTGAGGTTGTACAACGGCTGGATCTGGCAATAGTGCCCCCCAGGCCTCGAAGAGCACTTGCTCCAGGTTTCTTCACCCCATGCCACCAGGGCTGTGGCGCAAATTGAAACGATGAGGAGATAACATGACGAAAAGGCGGTGATTATCACCTTGGGAGCCTGTGTTTGCTCCTTGAGTGGTGAAATCATACTTGGAAGATAGTGGTGAATGCCACAGAGAAAGACCGAGTTTCCAAAGACTGCAACGAAACCACTGGGCTTCCAGAGTGGCACGTCCTGCAGTATGCTCCCCAGACTCTCCCGTTCCAGTCGTTCGATGCACTTGTAAATGCCCACCAGCAGCAGAATGGCAATGGCCAGGAAACGGCACCACATGATTACGACGGTGAAGGCCTTGGTATTCTGCAAATTCTTGAAACACAAGGGAAGGGTGATGAAGAACACCACGATCACACAGCAGGTGTAGACCTCATTCGCGTTCAGCTCACCATAGCCTATGAGCCGCCAAGCACCCAGAAGTGTATGAGCCAGTGATTGATTCACGGTGACCACCAAGGCAGAAACCGTGCCATAGGTAAAGCTTAGGATCATCACCTGTCAAAAGAAGAGGAAACTCAGAAAAGTGTCCTTTAAAAAGGCCAAGAACCCTATGATGCACTTTTTTAGGTTAAGAGGATCAATCCTACCCGTACCCGTGGTGAGCACCACTATCCGTCCAGTGCGCCATGCCACAATCGTCATCGGTGCAAAAAAGTGAGCCAAAAAGAAAAGCGCATCCTCTGAAAACGATCCAAAAAAGGACACCTCCCCATAAAACTGGTACAAATCAAACGTTTCTGACACCGTCTCCAAAGTCCCATCAGCTTCTTGTTACTACTAGTAAGGCACTTGTTACTACTAGCGATGCACCGGTTTCTAATAGCGAACACTGACTATGAAGTGCTGATTTCAAGTCCAAGTCACATAAATCGTGGCAGCAATGACCTTATCCGATCCTTTCTTGAGCACCCGCTCCCCCACGGCTCCCAGCTCCACGCGCTCGCGGATCTTGAACTCACGATCCGGATTCTTCACACGGTTCTCAGCTTGAAAGACCTGCAGGATGGTGCAAGAAGGACTTCCGCGACATGTTTTTGCAGTTCTTGTGGGTGGTCTCCAAAAAGATGCTCATCCTCTTTTGAAAAGGGGTGCTTGGATGGCAACATCTAGTTACTTGTGACATGGTGGCTGGTCTCAAATGGCTGGTCATCCCACGTCGGTTCAGAAGCCAAGAGGACGATGCTGGGATAGTACAGTGATCGATATTGATCTGCACGGTAGGGCACGGGATTGGAGATCTTGCTCCCTCCTAATCAGTCTCATCCCGAAGTCCTGGAGATTTTGCCCATGTTCCCAACCTTCCAAAAAGCACCCATCAAAACCACCCTTTTGTGACCTGAATGAAAGGATGTCCTCGAAGTGTAGGGAAGGTTGAGACATGGACCTTTCCTGATCCTTTTTCTGAAAACACACATATGTCCAGGTATTGCGCCACTGGCTCCGCGTTACTATGTTTCTGAAAACAAAGTGACCAGTGTTCAACTCAATTGCTGGGTGACGTCTTGTTCTGATACCCAAACATCCAACGTCAAACCGGTCTCGTCCAAAAAGTGTTTTACATCCATTCGTCCCAGCTGGCGGAACCGCCGTGCTTCGTTTCCCGGTTCACCCTCCGCCAGCTCGGCGGCCCGGGAATCGGACGGCCTCCAAGGTCTGGCCCCGGAAGGGCCGGAAGTCTACGGCATTGAAGTCCAGCAGCTTCTTTCTCATGGAGTTGCTCTCATCACCACGTGCCACCTCGTCGATGGCGTCGCGGAGAGCTTGTCGAACTTCCGGCGCCTGGTGTTCCAGCACTTGCTTCTCCGCCGCTTCGTACTCCAACGCATTGGCGATGGTCAAGGCCTCAGGCTGGCACCAACTGGCAAGTGGCGGTGCACGGATGGTTTTTGAAGGTTTCATCCTGGAATCCTTCCCCTAAATGTGTGGTTGCAAGCCAACTCCTGCTTCAATCTCATACGGTTGCTCCTATGGTCATGACTTGGATCACCCTGGTTCTGTCATACGGGGGGGCTCCTTCATCCAATTTGATTTAACCTTGCTGAACATGGAGTAGCGGATTGACGGAACAAACGATGCAGGGTATGCAGAACCTGGACGGAACAGGCTCCAAAAAAAGCGACGCTCTGCGCGAACGCACCGGATGAGATCGGCCTCACACATGAAGGTGGCAGTGATAAACGAGATGATCATGCAGCCCATGATGATGAGAGCACCCAGGAGGAGCCCTGCTTGCGCAAAGCCATAGGGCAAGGTCAGCAAAGAGAGCCCTGCACTGCACTGGTGATGTCCACCATTTGGGGATTAGAACAAAAAATCAAAAAAGATATTCGCCGTGCCACGGTCCCACCCAGCCTGTCAAAGAATTCATCATGAACAGTACACCTTCGGAGAACTTCATCTTGCTGCCGAGTGGATTCTTGATCCGCTGATCGGCGGCTAAAGAGAATTGACGTTGAAAGTCCGCATTCTTGGTCTGCGGAAAGATCCGTGAGGGCTCACTGGGCATTGGCTCTTCGGTTGCGGCGGCCATTTCCACCAAGAGTGCAAGGGAGCTAGGGCCGCTGCTGGGTCTGCTGGTCTACTGAAAGAGCACAGGAAAAGGTCATGTCTAGTACTGTAACTCTTTGCACTGTTGTAAATTACCAACAGTCAAAAATATAGAGTTGTTGAAAATGTGGACAACTTGCCAATGGCACTGAAGCATGACCTGTTCACAAAATTGCAGGTTTACGAGCAAGCCAAAACGGCTGTGGAAGCTGGTCATGTTGGGGGGGGCGCCCCTTGAGGGGGAGCTGGTGCTATCGAAAAATAAGCACGCCCTTTTCATGTGAAAGGCATGTTACCACCCACTGGACCAGACATTAGGGCCTTGTGTTCGGGTGTGGCTTGGACCCCTGAACATGTTGTAGCCTCCAAACCGGCGCTCCTTTCCCAACCGGAGTGTTTTGGAAGAAGAGGATTGGGATTCGGATCCTCCTGCCTGCAGCCCAAACAGCCGTAAACGGCCCTAAACATCTCCCACATCCTCCTTGCCAACTCCCACACCTCGCCTTTCATCGATCATGGTCTCTCCGCCCCGCGCCCCTCGCGTCTGTGAGCGGCTGGGTTCCGTCTCCGCCGGTCTCCGAGCAGGTCGTCGCGGCCAGTGAACCGATGCACAGCGCGTGGCCCCGAACAAGGGGTCCGAGGGGCCGTGGTCGTGGCCCCTGGGTTGCATGGTGAGGAGACCTGTGGCGCTCGGCGCTCGGGGCTCGACTCCGAACCCTCGTAGTGCGGCGTCCGAGTTCGGGGAAGACCGTGGAGCTTCATTGACAGCTCGAGCCATGGTGAATGGTCCCAGAAGATGAAGCCCCATGCAAAAACAAGTGTGGGATGGCTCTGTACACTGTACTCGCCCCCTGTGTATCTTCTCGGTGTCTCCCTGACGCTGAAGGGGACTTTTGGTTGCTGGTGTAGTAGAAGATTGGTCCAACAGCAAAAAGCCATGGTTCACTGCTACTTTGGATGGAGAAGTGATTGTTTCCGAACCAGTCCCCACAAAAACCGGGCACGATCAAGGTACTTGTGCGACAAGAGCTATCCCCCTTCATCTACTGGTCGGCCCAGCAGTCCGCGGCTGGCTAGGCTGGATACCCAAACAAGATGTGTGAAAATCACACTGTTCGACTCGAAGTGCGAAACCCCGAGTCCCTCTACTGCACGTTCTCTGATTGACGCAACATCCCACCCCAACGACACAAAATCTCGAGTCGACTGCCAACGTTGTCAAATTCCCCATCGCAGTGAGCACGTCTCAAAAGCACGTCCCACGGATCATGGAAAATAAATGGCACGCCAGACCTGGCGCAGACCTGCAAAAGAAATGGCCCATCCTTCAAGGAATTGGCTGAAGAGAATACCATGGAATATCTACAGGGAACCGTGGTTGGAACCCCCAAAAAACTATGGGTAGGTTTTCCCTGTAGAAAACATTCTGGGAACCTGAATCCTGAGTTGTTCATCTCACCTTTCTTGGTCTGATGCCGTGCCGCTCCAGAATCTGGAGGCTCTTGTTATCATCATGCGCTGTGGAACTCATAGAACTTTTATGAGTTCCATAGCACCACATGATGCAACCATCATACAACTCAACAGAAACACTCCGCTGTCGACCTTGTTCACAGCCATCCCGCACGGTGTCGACCACGGGGCCCTCCTCCGCACGGAACCGGCTTTTTCAGCTCAGATCTTCCGTCGACTCGGCGCTCCCCTACCGTCTCACCTGACAGCGGTCCGGTGGCTTCCCGGGTCGAACCGCGAGTTGACTCGGGGGGGG